TGCTACTTTAGCTGGTCGATTACGGTACTAGTCGTGTTAGTGAGAGTTCCGGTATCGGCTACTTTTGACATTGTTTGGAGTAGGCGAAAATCGAACTTTCGAGAGCTAAGTTATGAAAATTATTTTTATTTTCTAAAAAAAAAATGTTTTCGGCATTAACCACGCTGCTGAACTCACCGTGCTATTGTTTATAGCATCTAGTTTGCACACTCCTCGACACTTATTTCTGTTACACCTTGTATAATGAAATTTGTAAATTATTTCGAGAATGTAAAGACTGTGGACATAGGATTCGGAGATTTAGAAAAATAGGCGAAATAGGTTCGCATGACACCTTGTCAAGCATGAAGGGAGAGACATATTAGAAACAAGAGGAGTTGTTATAGACCTAGATTAGATTACTGTTCGCAAATAGTTAAGGATGTGGGATGTTCCAGTTTTAGGGAAATGCGAAGATTAGCTCAGGATAGGAAAGAGTGGAGGTGCTTGTCTAACCAGTCCTAGGACTGACCGACCTTGTGATGATGATGATGATGACAAATTTAAAAAGCATTAATCCTACGCATCTCAACATCAAGAATCTTTAAAAAATATTGAAAAGAATTCGTATATTTTGATTAATTCTGTCAATAAATATGAATCTAGACAAATTAACAAAATCCGGTAATAACAAACAAGAGTTTATGCAGATTATGATTGTAGAATACAAAACTAGCAATATTAGTTGTTACGATTTTGTAAAATGCATTTCTTGTAATTTTAGTAATCTAGTTTTTATACAGTATTTTTTATATATGCAAAAGTATTAATATAAATGCAAGAAAAACTATCATGAGAATTTTACTTTTCATAATGTTAATTTTCAAGTAAACGAAAATACTTGATCCCCATTTCGGTTGCTCGTTTAAGACGGCCTGTAATTATTTATGACCGCGTGCACAATAAGCATTTTAAAAATTTCAGACTCCCTAAAGTTTAGGTTCAGTTTGCAGTTGGGTCACAGAAAATCATCTTTCCCAATTACCCTTTTATTACCTGCTATATTTGGCCCTGATAAAAGTCGAGGACGGAATAGTACCACCATTAACATTTTACCGTTGTTTCTGCTATTGGTGTTACTGTGGATAATGCCTAGTTCCATCCCATATACCTGTTTTTAATTAGGGTTAAAATTTTCGGTATGTCGAATTCCCTCCTAATTATACATCAATTGCCTCCCAACGGGGGCGGACCTTGAGTGCTATAATTACCACTATAAAGTCCTAAAGAGTTGTTTAAATAATACAGCCTCACATCACATATTAATCTTAATATTATTCATATATTATAGACACCACAATAACAATAATAATTTTATCGGACTACCCTTCTATTGGTCAAATACAATACAAACTAAAACTAATAAAGTTTTTCTGGATGATTGCATCAAAAAGCTAGACGCACACGAATTTCCAAACATTGAATTTGTTAAGGTAGTGGGAAACCATTTTAAAATTAAATAAATAAACATTTCATAACTGATATGTTTTCTTTCAGAAATTATTTTATCTTTAATTTACTGAAGTACTAAAGTGCACTATAAATACATATTTATTTTCGATAAATAAAATCGGTAAGTAGTCGTTAACTTAATTACCGGAGTTGATATGAACGGGAATTCGACATCTATATTTTAACCAAAACTACCTGCGGGAGGGAATTCGGCATCACCGGTTACTGTTGACCACTGAGTTGAATCGTACCATACAAGTCTTATCTTATCATAGGTAAAATACTAGTATTTGTTTGAAATATTAAAATGTAAGCATCTGAAAATTTTACTCTCAATTCTCCAAAAGAAATAACTTCAAAAAATCATTGTGGAACTATTATTATACAGTAGAATCTCTATATCTCGAATATCAAAGCAGACGCCAAAAATTTGAGTTATAGAATTTTCGACTTACGCAGGATTTTGACTTAGGCGGATTTTGATTCGACTTGAAGAGGTTAAAATTTGGTACATTTTTGTACATTTACTTAGATTGTCGGCAAATCCTTAAAGTCCATAATTTAGTTTTGTAGACGTAATATGTTTTAAATTATCAAGTTGTAAAGGTTGTAAAATAAAACATTGCTATGTTCAAGATGCAGAGGTCCAATTTAATTTTTCGAGTTTTAGAGTGAAAATATGTACCAATGTGACTTGCAGGGACTTACTGATTATTTGTTTTTTTTTACTAATGGAGGGTCGAGATTTCGAGTAATAGAGGTTTTAGGGCTTGAAGGGAAGGGAACAAAACATTTTTTCGAGTTTTGGAGGTGTTCGACTTAAAGAAGTTCTACTGTATATTTATTTATTATAACATTTATACATTCACTCCGTCAATAATTAGCTTCGAAGTGTATCAAGATATTTTCAAGTAGTCAGAAAAGGGTGAAATGTTCTTCAATAATTATGTAATTCCGTCAACATTTCGCCTTCCGATCTAAGGCTTTTTCAAGGTCGTTTACTTAGTTAGTGAACCATATTAGGAAACATTACAATTTTACTTTTTCTTGTATAATCACCCGAGAACTTATTTGTTACGCAAGATCAAAAATACACAAAATCACATTCACAATTTAAATATTCGTATTTTAATTGTGGCTGTCATTTTATGCTAACTGATTTTAATTAATTATTAAATATTAATAATTACCAATATTCCGCATTCAAATGAACGAAATAAAGTTGTACTTTTCTGGTGTTTACTAATTAGTTAATGCAATAAATTAAGCCATTTTTTTTAAAGTGAAGCTTTTATTACATCGCCTCAAATTTTTTCGTCCATCTATCGCATGTCGGATTACAACCGGCCGTAGAGTAGGGGTAAAACTGAAAGGCGCTCGGCAGAACAGCCAAGGCCAATATGACGGCGCCCATGCCTAGTATGAGCTAACCGTGTAGCATTTATATTCCCACTCATTCGTGCAAGTGCATGACAATTACATTTATAGACTGTGAAACTCAAAACGAAGATGAAATTATTGATAGAATAATTGAAGTTCAAATGATTTAATTATTTAAATAAATATTGTTCCCAGTTTTTAACATGCGTCTATCATCTAAATGATTTTATTTATTATGTATTCCATACTCTCATACGCAGATTG